GGTCCCTAACAGCCCCTCTCCCCAATTCTTGTTCAAGTAGCTGCAGGCAGGGGAAAAGGCCAAGCCCCAGATTAGGAACAGGTCAACTTTAATTCGAGGGTCGAGCCCCTGTATTCCTGGCTGGGGGGGAAAACAAACACCCATATTTATCTCCGCTTCCAATTCGCCTCCAGGCTCAGAGATGGGGAGGAGGCGTAGTGTGCCGACTGGGCCAGAGGAACAGATCGGGTGTCCCTGCCTTTTCCTCCTCTTTCAAGTAAATGTCTAAAGAAAGGGGAGGGAGAGTTAAGAGCTGCAAGAGGGTGAGCGGGTCAAGAAGGTTGGACCTGCTTGGCGAAGACTGCGATGTCCTCGTTGAAGGAGTCGGAGGAGCAGACGTCTCCGCCGGCCACTCCGGGTTCCCGGGGAGTGCAGGTCGCCAGCTCGCACTTCTCAAAGACCAGAGCTAACAGAGGAAACAACGGGTGCCTAACGGGCAGCGCCACGCAGAGACATACACACGGAGACGGGGTGCAGAGGGGAAGGAGCAAGAACTGTAATCAACAAGTTTGGAGGGTTTGGATTCCTTCTTTAATACAACAGGCACGCATCACACTTTACAACACTTCCTCAGTCAGCCGAGCCTGGGCCAGAAACAGAAAGGAAAAACAGCCTGCCTGGCCCCTACCCTCAGCTCAGAAGTCTCTCACATCTGGTCAGAGAAGTCTCTGGCCACTTTAGCCCGCCAAATAAAAACAGCCTCAGTTGGAACGTACTGAAACATACAAGAAACTCGGGTAATCTGGAGCCCTGAGTTCATCCATACCCATTCCCCACTGCAGAGGCCACCGAACCAACTCTTGCTAACCAACCTTTACCTCCCAAGAAAGAAACACTCTTTAAAATTATATATATATATATATATATATATATATATATATATATATATGCCTTTAACGGGCATTCCAAACAAGGCCGACGGCTTCACCTACATACACACTGGAGTGACATTTCCTAAATTCGAGAATGTTCTTCCAATCTTTCTAACCCCTTGCATTATAAACTAGTTTGTTCTACTTCTAGTAAAACCTGAGTGTGGGGGCCAAAATAATAGGAACGTTAAAAGTCGAACAGCTTCCTTCCAAAAACCACATTTCCCCCAGCATTGCAGCAGACAAAAATAAAAGAATCGCGTTTTAAAACTTGGAAGTGTGCTTGCGCGTATGCCCTTTGTGTTCCTTGGGCGCTTTAGCTACACTTCGGGATGCTTGCGGCCTCTGGCTTTAGGCTCAGTTGCTGTTTACGCACTGTCCCCTCCCCTCGGCATCCCGCCGCCTTCCCCACCTACCCTTGGCCGGAAGAGCCCGTGTTGTACACATTTGGACCTTGCATTCCCACCCCTCCTGGAGTTCTCAGAATATAAAATAATTTTCAACCATCTCCCTTACTTCCCCCAAGAGTCTCTCTATGCAAGCAGCAGTCCCTTCCACCCCGCTGCACTTTAAGGTCTGCCCCTTTATTTACAAAGAATTAAGAAGTGGGTGATTAGAACTTCCTGGCCGACAGAAGCAGCCCTGATCTCAGCTCAAGCTGCATTTAGTGACTCCCAGACCCACAAGTATGAGACAGAAGAGGAGGAGAAAACACATCAAGTTGCTCCTCAGCTACAGGAAACTTTCCCCTTGTCAAGGCCTCTGCTAGGGGGCTTGAAAAAACTAGTCCTGCGTCCTTTGGCCAGGAATCTTGTCCTTGGGGAGAAGGCCCTAGCAAGGTTCTGAGAACTCAGTCACTCCGGGCTGTGGGGTTTGGAGTGACCGGGCGGTGGGAGTGGAGGAAGCTATATCTTCCGGGTCTCTGACTCAAAGGGCAGAAGGGCAGGCTCCCTCCACTGTCCTTTCCTAAGTCAGGCAGCACCCCCATGCAGAAATAACTCTCCACTTAGCCGTCCATCCCCCGCCCCCCACAAAGACAAACACACACTCTCACTCACACTCACACACAGTAAGCTGGGTCCGGGGGTCGGTTTACCCATAGATCGCGTCCTTGTCTCGCTTCAACGCGTCGTTGACAGCAGAGCCCATGCTGGCCGGCATGACATTGGGGTGCGGGGCGTGCGCGCCGTAGTGCTGCGTGGCGTGGAGCGGCGGCCCGTGGTTCAGGTGATGAACCGGGGGAATCGGCCGCGGCGCGTGAGGGTCTCCGTACATGGAAGCGGGAACCCCTACTCCGTCCATCCCGCCGTAATGGGGCAGCTCATCGTACTGTCAGAACCCGGCAAGGAGGAGGGGGCGCAGGGGATGGAGAAAGAACAGAGGGAGGAAAGAGAAAAAGAAGCAGGGAGAAGGAATCGTACAGAAAAGTGAGGATGGGACAGAGAAGAGAGAGACAGGGAGAGGGGAGAGAGGAGGGGGGAGAAAAGAGGGGAGGGCGAGCGAGAGAGAGAGAGAGAGAGAGAGAGAGAGAGAGAGAATAAAAATAAAAACAAAGTCAGAAAGGAGAAAAGTACCGAGCTCAAGTTGAACATACAGAAACCAAACCAGTCGAAACAACGGAGTTGAAAGTTGTGGGGGGAAATGTTTTAAAATCTCAAATGAAAAAGTATGAGCCAAGAGCAGCATTTAGAGAAGGGAGAGGAGGCGGCGAGGCCAGGGATTGAAGGGGCGCAGGGAGGCCCCGCTCCCGCCGGAGGCAGCAGAACCGTAGTGAGCCAACCGAGGGAGAAGTGGAGTTAGTGTGAGGAGGAAGCCCCGGATCCCACCCCTAACCCCCCTTCGCCTCCTCCAGAGGATCCAATAAATCAAAAGGCGAAATGAAACAAAATAAAGAGAAGAAAAACGCTAATAATCAGGACGAGAACGCCAAGGACGAGGGAAGACTAGGGCCAGTGCCTCCCCGGGGGCAGGGAGCGGAGGGTGGGGAGGAATAACGTGAAAGTTACCAGAAACATTATTTAGCCGCGGATTCCCTGCGTCCTTGTCAATTTCAGAGACAAAACAAGCAGCCCAGGCTAGTCTAGGCGGCGGCGGCGCAGCGGCTGCGGCAGCGCGGCCCC